AGGGGGAGGTCTCCTTGCCCCGCAGCACCGCCTGGACAGAAAGGGCTCCCATCTCAAGAAAAGGAAAAGAAAACAAACAAACAATTCAAAACAAACCAATGAACAAAAGCCCCGGGATCCCACCAGCACAGTAGCCCAGACCAGGCAGCAGCTCCACACACGGACGGAGCTCCACAGCCCCTCAGGAAGAAGCAAAGATGGCGCACGGAGCCAGATATTGAGCGAAAGGAAGGGGAGGTAGCGAGAGGTAAGGAAGAAATCAAAAGAAGCGGAAAAAAGCAACACCAGCAGCCAACAAATGGCACTCAGAGAGTCGGCCCATTCAGGTGTGTGGAATCCAAGCAGCCGGTGTTTCCCCGTCAAGAGATTGCGGCCACGGGAAGCAGACGAGGCCAAATCGGGGTGAAGAAGGGTGGGGGGTGGGAAAGCGTATATCGCCAATTACCGGTTGTTTTGTCTCCCGCCGGACACTCCATGGGGCTGTTTTCTCGTACCCCGTTTGCTGGTCTCTGACAGGAGTCCCTTAGAGTCTTTCTTAACTCTCCCCTGCACATATTCCATATCCAATCACTCACCAAATCCTGTAGCTTTGATCTCCTAAATACCTACAGAACATTTTTCTTTCTTTCCATGACTTTTGCTACCTCTCTATTTCAGGCATCATCTCCTGCCTGGATACCTATGATACGCTTTCAACAACTGATTTCTCCTTATGCACTCTTGCTTGGCTATAATACTGCATTTGCTAAATGCTGATTTGAAGTACCTATTCAGCATATTTGCAACCACAGAAGATTGTTTTTCTTTAGTACTGCCCAATTTAGACATCACAGCATCAAAATACAAAATACAAAAAAGCAACCAAAACACAGTAAAATCACTGAAAAAAATACCCACTTTTATGTATCTGTTTCCATTTTTTAAAAGTCATGCTTCTTGTGTTTCAGTTTAATACATTACAAAATTATTTCCAGAAGACACAGGTGTCCCTTAAAAATGTCATACCTGAATAACAGCATTAAACCAACATGTATTGCCAACATTTTTCAGCCCAACTGGCCAACCATCAACTCTCCTCCAGTCGTTGGGATTGGGATTTTCTCCCCAGACTTCACAACGTTTTCTCTTTGAGCGTTTAGTTTCTGCAGAGGTGGCTTCGTGCATCCTATATTGTGTCAACATACCACACATCCAAAACAAAAAACAAAAAAAAAAGTTAAAGAACAATACACTGTATGGAGGATGTGGGTAATCTTTCATAGATAATTCAAAATGCTGGATAAGCTATTTACTGGGTAATTACTGGCTATATAATAGTTATAAGATCATAACATACATGAAAAGCAAAGTTTAAACAGGGAGATGTTAAACTTTCCATAACAGCGATTACTATTAATAAAGTCCATGATAGAGTTGAGACTTAAGACTATTTATGGCTGCTGTATGAAAAGTTTTAGATTTCAACTACAGCGTCTTATCTGAGACCTTGCCATTAAAAAGGCAAGAGAGAAACTCTGCTAAGGATAAGAGCCCCAAACTGCCCAGAACACAAAATCCAGCCCTCTGTTTCCTTGATAAAAATAAGTCAGCAGCGTGAGGGAATAAACATGTCCAGAAACTGACCACCATTAGAACTGGATGTTTGTGAATAATATAAATCACCAACTTAGTACCAATTTTAAAAAAGATATCTCCTGGTCCCTTCTGAGGCAGGGTAGTTGAGTGATAACTTTCATTTTCAAATAGTTAACAATATAACTCTCAAAAATAATAAAGGGAATATAAATTTATCAGATATTTGGGCTAGGTTTTTCTTCGTTTCTTTTTCTTCCTAGCAATTGTGAAGTACAAAACCTTTCAGGCTTCTATTCAAAAGTTCACAGGTTGTCTGATAAGATCTTCGTCACATTTTTTCAAAAGTTGTGCAAGGACTGAATAAACTAATGTGATTTCAAATTTTCTCCTAAAAGAAAGTTCATTCACGTTCAATTAAAATTAAAGGAGCTTTGCAGAATTGTTTCTGAGTGACATTTGTGCAGATACTGCCTTTGACCTACACCCTAATATGGGAAGCAAAGATTATAAATTAAATCAGTAACCTGTTAAGATCTCTTCCATCAGCTTGAATTTTGGGGGATTCCAGAAGACTCAAAGCAATGGCAGCCTGAAGATCATCCTTGTTATCATGAGTAAGGTCTATCACTTCTGTAAGACAAATAGAAATTTAGTCTATACATCCAAGAAGCACTAGCTTTCTGTCTATAGTGTAGGAAAAAGGGCAAAGAAATTCCCAAAACTAGATATCCTCCCTAGCTCTCCCTACAATGGCTCATCTGTTTAACAACTTTATTACCCTATGCCAGAGTCAAATAAATAACTCAACGCTACACTGTAACTTTAGACTAGGCAAAGTCCAGAAACAACAAGCGGCTAAAATGCAATGAATCAAGTATCTCCTTCTGCAGTCTAATTCTACAAAATAAAATACAGTCTTCCCTAGGTAGCCACGGGGGACTGGATACCAATATCTGTGGATGCTCAATACCAATTATCTGCAGATGCTCAAGTCTCTTATATAAAATGATGTAGTTATTTGTTTACAACCTACGCACATCCTCCTGCATACCTTAAATCATCTCTAGATTACTCATAATATCTAATACAATGTAAATGCAATGTAAATAGTTGTAAAACCCTGCTGCCGAGCAGTCGATTCCGACTCATAGCACTCACTGCAAACCTACAGCTGTAAAGTACTATATAAATAGCACTTAATGCTCCCTCCTACCCTCTGAGGGATTGCTCTGACCACCACTTCACTGCTTTTTAGGGGCCATTTTTTCATAGAAACAAAGCGGGCAATGCTCAAACAACCAGTGCTGGAGAGACTGAGGATCTGTGATATGGCAGGAGGCGCAGGGGATCCCTACACAGCCCTTCATTCGCATGGATTCAGCATAGTACTCGGCTGTGGCAAATGCAAGTTTTGCTTTTTGGAACTTCTTTTTCCCCCTAAATATTTTTGACTTTCACTTGGTTGAATCCACAGATGTGGAACCACAGATATGGAGGGCCAACTGTATATATCCCATACCTATAGGTGAAATAGCCTCCTTATTCATCATCGTAAAACATCAGCTAAATATCAAACATCCAAGGAAGAGACATTTTCAATCTCATACGAACTATTCTAGATATAAGAGGACATCCTCCTCAACTCATTTTATGAGATCAACATAATCTCTTGTTATGTGCCAAACCATTCAAGAACAGTAAGAGGAAAAATGACAAACTCACACATGATCACAGATGCAAAAAACCTAAACAAAATATTAGCAAATGGGATCCAATACTGTATTAAAAAATATTACATATTAAGAACCGCTGAGTTTATTGTGGAATGAAATACTAAGTCAACATTAGAAAAATCAATAAAAATTACTATCTCTAACAGATTAAAGGAAAAATCAATCAGCTCAATGGATACAGAAAAAGTATTTGATAACATTCAACCACCATTCAGGATAAAAGCTCCAAGCCAATTAGGAATAGAAAAGAATACTCTTAGGCTGAGAAAGAGTATCCAGGAAAAGCCCACAGTGACCTTTATACTTACTGATAAAATGTTAAATAAATTTCTTTTTAAAACAGTAGTAAGACAAAGATGTCTACTATAACTGCTTTTCTTCACCATTGTTCTGGAAGTATTGGCCAGTGCATAAGATGATGAAAGATACAAAAAAAATAAGGATTGGAAAATAAGAAACAAAGTTGTCATAAGTCACAGATAATAATCAGCTACGTGGAAAAACCAAAATAAGCTATCAAAAATAATTATAAGAGGCAGTTTGATAAAGGATCAATATAGAAAAGTTAAATAAATTTCTATACACAAACATTTAATTAAAAAAAAAAAAAAGATATCACAAAGCTACCATAATCAAGACTGTATGCTACTGGCATAAGGATATACACATAGATCAATGGAATAGAATTCAGTCCAGAAATAAACCCATACATGTCTATGGTCAACTAATTTTTGACAAGTGTACCAAGAAAATTCCATCAGGAAACAGTATCTTTCAACAGATGGTGCTGGAACAACTAGATACCCATGTGCAAAAGAATGAAGTTGGACTCCTACCTCTTATCATATACAAAAATTAACTCAAAGTGGATCAAGACACCTCAAGGTAAGAACTAAAACTATAAAACTCTTAGAAGAAAACATAGTCGTAAATCCTTGTGACCTTGGATTAGACAATGATATCTTAGTTATGACATGTAAAGTACAAACAACAAAAGAAAAAAACAGATATACTGGATATCATCAAAATTAAAAACTTTTGGGCTTCAAAGGACACCACTGAGAAAGTGAGAAGACAACCCAGAGAATGGGAGAAAATATTTGCAATCACGTAGCTGGTAAGAAATCTATACACAGGTTCTGATCAGGACAATAACAGATGGATTCTAACAGAAAGAAAGAAAAAAAATCCAGACTTACTGGACCCACTGAGTCAGGAAGAATCCCTGAGACTACTGTCCTGAGATATTTTTTAAGCCTTGAACCAAAACTATCCCCCCAAGTCACCTTTTTGCTAAACAACAGGTTAGCTCATAAAAAAATGAATATCACCCTTGAGTACTGCACTCTTTTAAAAAACCATCTATATGAGATCAAATGGTCAACAAATGCTCTAAAGCACAGATGAAAAGCCTGGGGGGACGTGAGACTAGGTTCATGGGAACAGAACAACTAGAACAGAAACAGTGAGAATGCTGATAAACTGTGAAGAATGTAACCAACATCACTGAAAAATATGTGTAGAAATTGAATGGGAACCTGTTTTGCCGTGTACACTTCAACTGAAAATACAATATTATCTTTTTAAAAAGCCAAAAAAAGAAGCCTATATACATACATACAGAATATATAAAGAACTCCCGCAACTCAATAATAAGATAAATATCCCAATTTTTAAAATGGGCAAAGGATCTGAATAGATATTTCTTTAGGAAGATATACAAATGGCCAATAAGCACATGAAAAGATGCTCATCATCAACTGTTAGGGAAATGTAAATCTAAATCACCATGAGATGCCACTTTACACCCCTTACAATGGCTAGAATAAAAAAGACAGAAAATAACAAGCGCTAGTGATGGTTTGGAGAAAGTGGAACCTTCATACACTGTTAGTGGGAATGTAAAATGGTGGAGACACTTTGGAAAATAATCTGGCAGTTCCTCAAAAGTTAATAACAGAATTACCATACAACCCAGCAATTCCACTCCTAGGTATACACCTAAGAGAAATGAAAACATATGTCCACACAAAAACTTGTACATGAATGTTCAAAGCAGCATTACTCATTAACAGGTGAAAAGCAGATACTCAAATGTCCCTTAATTAATGACACGTTAAATCAAGATATGGCATATCCACACAATGGAATATTATTTGGCTATAAAAAGGAAAGCAGTACTGATAGATGCTACAACATGGATGAATCTTGAAAGCATCATGCTGAGTGAAATACGTCAGTCACAAAAGCACACCAATTATATGATATATCCAGAAAAGGTAAATCTGTAGACGCAAAAAGTAGATTAAAATTTGCCTGAACTGGAATTTGGTGGCCATTGGAATTGGGGAATGACTGCTAATGGGTTCAGGGTTTCTTTCTGCAGTAATGAAAATGTTCTAAAACTGATCATGGTGATGACCGCACAACTCTATGAATAAATTAAAAACCACGAAACTGTACACCTTAAATGCGTGAATTGTACAGTATGTGAATTATATCTCAATAAAGCTATTCCAAGTAATCAAACTTAGCATTATGAATAATGGGATAAAGTGACATCCAGTGCCTCCTACGTGACATAACTGGAAATACTAAATATTCTTGCCAAAATGTTTAACTTAAATCTAATTTTGAGAAAACAATAAAATAAGTCCAGATTATAGGGCATTTTGTAATACAATTGAACTAGACTCTGGCATAAGTCCCATCCCCAAGGACAGGGAGATGATTGTAGAATAAGGAAGACTAATAGCGTACTGGTTAAGAGTTCAGCCGCTAACCAAAAGGTCAGCAGTTCAAATCCCCCAGCCACTCCTTGGAAACCCTATGGGGCAGTTCTAACTCTGTCCTATAGTCTTGCTATGAGTTGGAAATGACTCAACGGCACCTAACAACAACAAACAACAGAGAGATATAACAAGTAGAATACATGCTCCTTGATTAGAGTCTAGCTATTAAAAAAAAAAAAAATTAAAAAATTGGGAGGATGTAAATATAGACTGCCAAAAATAACAACTAAAATAGTTGCCTTAAAGTCAATTCCAACTCATGGCGACCCACGTGTGCAGAGCAGAACTGCTCCAAAGGGTTTTCAAGGCTGTGACCTTTCCGGAGAGGACTGCCAGGACTTTCTTCTGCAGCACTTCTGGGTGAGTTCTAACTGCCAACCTTTTGGTTAGCAGTTGAGGGCTAAACCATTTGCACCACCCAGACTCTTAATACAGACTACATATTCTTAAATTTTTTTTACTTAAAAAATATACCATAGCAACAAAAATATTACGTATCTACGAATAAAGATATACAAGACAAACAGACATGGCCAGGAAGACTCAATTATTATAAAGCTACCAAATCTCCCTAAATTTATTTATAGATTCAATTACCCATTGTCATCGAGTTGATCCCGACTCACAGTGACCCTACAGGACAGAGGAGAACTGCCCCATAGGGTTTCCAAGGCAGTAATCTTTACAGCAGCAGACTGCCACATCTTTCTCCTGTGCAGCGGCTGGTGGGTTCAAACTGCCAACCTTCCAGCTAGCAGCTGAGTGCTTAACCACTGTTCCACCAGGGCTCCTATACATTAAATGCAATCCCCATAAAGCTCCAACATGAATTACATACAGACCCTGACAAGTCATTCTTAAAGCTTACACAGAAGAGCAAAAGGGCAAAAAATAGCTAAGGTACTCGTGAAGATGGACATGGTGGAGAGCCCGTATGGACAGCAAGACTTATTATAAAGTTATAATAATTAAAGTATATGTATTGGCATGAAACAGAATGGAACACATGAAAATTGGATGGAGCACAGAGCTGAAACTGCAGATCAGTGGGAAAGGACAGCCCTTCAATAAAAGGTACTGGGACAACTGGGTAGCTGTATTGGGAAAAAAACTAATTGTACCCCTACTTTATGGCATACCAAAAAAAAGGAAAAATCAACTCAGATGAATTGAGGACACAAATGTGAAAAAAAAAAAATATTACTATTTTAGAAGGAAACAGAATATCCTTATTACTTCAGGGTATAGAAGGAGTTCTTAAACAAAAAGCACAAACCATAAGAAAAAGACTGATAAATGCAACTGCAATAAAATTGAGCTCTTCAGTTCATCACCAAAGTGTAAAAACACAAGTCACCGACAGGGAGAAGCTATCTGCAACACATAAATACAAAAAAAAAAAAAAAAAAACATATGTCAAGGACATGAAAGGCCCCCCTACCAATCAATAAAAAAAAATCCAAACAAACAGAAAAATCAGCAGAAGACACGAAGAGAAATTTCACATAAGAGGAAACATGAATGGCCAAAAATGAAAAGATACCCCAACCTTATTACTAATTAGAAAAAATTCAAATTAAAAATGAGATACCATTTCACACAAAAAAGATGGGCAACAATTTTACAATCTGATATAACAAGTTTGAGAGCAATGGTTACTCTCAAACCTTGCTTAGTGGGAGTATAAACAGATAAAAAATCATTTTGGAATATAATGCCATTACCTTTAAAGTCAAAGATAAGCTTATCTCAAAACCTATCAATTGCACTGCTAGATATACCCACTAAGGAAACTTCCATACATGCACAAGAAACAGGAACAAAAACAGCTCATAGAAGTCTTTATTTATAATAGCAAAAAACTGGAAACAACTCCAAAGTCAATCAATGAATACACTGTGGTATACTCATACCATGGAATACTACACACAGTGAAAATGAATTAACTATAGTGAAAACCTTCAACATGGATGAGTCTCAAACATAAAAATGTTGACTGGATCAACAAAATTGATAAACCATTGGCCAAAGTGACAAAAGAAAAATTGGAGAGAAAGCAGATAACCTGTATAAGAAA